GCAGTTAAAATGTGTAAATTGATATCGGATTTGTGAAAAGAAAATTAAATTTATGCCTTTCTCTTTCGCGTATTGTTTATATCATTTTTTCTTTTAGATGGTAAATTAAATGGAAAGTGAAATATTACAAACAACTACAATGCAACATCAACAAGATGAAAAAGATGATAGTGGAATTGAACAAGATAATAGTTTTATTTATATACGAATAGCTGTTGAAGATCTTAATCTACAAAAAGTACTCAAATTTAATTTAGACGATACTGTATGGTCTGCAAAACAAAAAGTTTTACAAGTTCTTGTTCGAGTATGTAAATCTATTGAATAGAGAAGAAAAATATTTCCTGTTTTTGTTTTTTTGTAGGAATTAATAGATGGGTTAAATTTTGGATTATATTTACCAGCATGTAATGGTCGAGCTGGTAAATTTCTTGATGAATCTCGTTGTCTTAAAGAATATCCATTAAGTGGATCTGTTAGTTATCTTGAAGTAAGAATTTTTTTTTGATTTTTTGAAAAAACAAAACAAAATTTTCTTATTAAACTATTTTAGTTTAAATATAAACGACGTGTTTATAAAGCACTTCATTTCGTACAGAAAAATCTTAATTCAAAAGTATGTTGAAGAACAAAAAGAAAATTTTATATTTAAAATAAATTTTTTTTATATTATTTATAAAGATTAGTACAAAGAAATTTGTTGAATGTATCAAAACAAATCAAGTTTCAAAAGTTGCACGATATTTAGAAAAAGGATTTGATCCAAATTTTCATATTTCTAATGATGGTAAGTCATTATTAAAATTTCTCGAAGTTGAATGAAAAATGTTTCTTTGACCCAATAACTCGGAAGTAATCTATATATATATATTAGGCAATGAATAGAAATATGCAAATTTATAACAATCATACTAAAGGATTGTAAATGACGGCAACTTATTTTTCTGAGTCAGAGTACAGTTGAACATATATTTCATTGGGTATAGTAAAAATTGTACCC